AAGAAAAAAAAAGAGAAAGTTATGTTGGGGAGCCTTTTTGTAGTTTAACGGTGATGCTGTTTATGTCTTGTATACATTTGGAATGCTTTCTTTCTATCTGGAAGATATTAAAAAATGTTATCTCTAAAACTAACGTTAAACATATTATAAGTTGAAAAAATATGTCATTTACTATTGCTATAAAAATCATACTATTATTTGATTATAAATTTACATTTTATCATAAGTATTTTGAAAATTTTATTCACAATATTTATTGATTGGCCTTGTACGATTTTTTTTCATATTATAAAAAACACAGCCAACTATTTCTGTAAATAATTTCAAAACACACTCAACACTAATTGTATTCATTTCAAAACCTTAAGTTTTAGTTTTATCTACAAGATTAATTCTATCAAAAGAAAAAAAAATCAAGATAGCAATAACCATTATTGTAAAAATAAAAATAAAAATACTAATAGTACATTCTTTAAGATGTTGTGTTCACTAGGTTTTAGCGTGAATTACTATTTTGTTAAACTCGTTTATTGTTATTTAACGAGGCTCATTATTTTAACGATTAATCGTAAGCGATTATAATGTTAATACTTATTAATCAAATTGAATTGATTACCATCATCAAATGAAGAAACATGGTGATATTGTATAATAAAGGCTTTTTTATTATTTACTATTTATTGTTAATCAATTTTTTTTATTGTTAACAAATTTGAATGATATATATTAACGAATCCCGTCCTACTACCTCTATTTTTCTAAAACGTGTTTTTTTTCCTCCTTCAGTGGAAGAGTTTTATAAAATCATATATTATTTACATTTCAACATAAAAGAATTATTTTTATTATTAATTAGTGAATGATTATTTCTTGTTTATTATTGTGAAACTTTTCTGGATATAAGAATTACTTTTATTTTCTAAAATCTTATTCAAGAATCTTGAGTTTTAAATTTATTATTATGTCAACGTACTTTAATGAGAGGATTTTATAGTTTTAAAATAACATATGAAGGAGGACTATAAAATTGTGTACTTTTTCAAAATAAGTTTTAACGTATTGAACGGAATTATATGTTTAAAAGGTTTATTCGATACTTTGTTTACTAAATGCATGCATTTATTGACAGAAGATTTTTTTGGTTACACTCAATGATACTTCATTTAGTGAATGCATGTATTTATTGGTCGATAAATGATAATATTTACTTATTATAATATTTTTTAATTTACTTATAATTATACTTTTTTTAAATAATAATAATTGATAAACAATATAAATATATATAGAAAGCAACTAAATATTAATGATATTTTAAGGAGAAAAAAAGAGAAAGTTAATCAATAATAATTAGAATTAAATCAGGAGAATGACTATTTATATTGTGAAACCTATCTTTGTTTTTCACTACATGAAAAAAAAAATCAAGTCTATCCATTAAATTTAATCTATTTTTGATTCTCAGAGTGGGTAAAAACTTGTCAAAAAGTCCATATATTTAGTTTCCATAATATGTAAAATGTAAAATTTTACAGAGGTGACCAAATTAAACGTGTAGAACCACATTGTAACATTTACATTAAAGACCCAATTTAGTATAACAATTCTTTTTTAATAAAATTATGTGTAATTTATTTGAGTTAAATATATTTTTAATTTTTAAATTTTCACGTACTGTTGAATTTTTTTTTTATTATATATATTGATATAATTTGATCTCAAACTTTAAAAATAAATAAATATAATATTTTTAATTTAGTTATATTACATTTTTTATTGTTTAACGTGTAAAATAAATTTAACATATAAATTTTAAAAAAATATATTTATTTATATTTAAAGTTTCGAAATAAAAATATATATAATTTGTAGTGAAGAAAAATTCTAAGTTCATATCTAGCTTACTAACGTATTTATCCCCTTATTAATGTAGGTACTTTTAATCCAAATCATCACTATTTAAATTATAGTACATATGAAAGAACAAGGTTCAATTTTGATACATCTCATTCTAAATTCTTAGCAAAAAGATAAACCGTATTTAATTCTCTCCATAAGTAAGAAGAACATCCATTTAATATCGTAAAAGTATTTTTATTGAATATGATATCAAAATTATTTATGTTATTGATGTTTTTAATATAATGTAATAACAACGTTGTAAGTCCAAATATTTGTTCTTATCTTTCATTAATATTGTTTTGATCATAAATTCATGAAAGATGTAATTATGATTAATAATTATAGTTGATGAATTTTAATCTCCCTTATGAATTTATCCTTAAAAAACTTCTCAGAAGATAGAAAGAGAAATAAACTCTTTGATCCAGGTCTAAGGAAAATGAGCATTAATCTCCTAATGGATGGTTAAGGGGAAATAGATTTTGTCTCCCTATGGACGACACCAATGTTTCGATTCCAAGTCCATTAAATGACATTATTAGGTCAATCACATAGAGTTTAAAACTCTATTACAATTTTGTCTTTAAAAATATATTAGAGAACAGAAAATATATTTAAATTATTCTTAATTTTAACTAATTTTAAAGTAATGTTCTTTGTCAATTTGATTTTTTAAAAACTTTGTTGTCTCTTCAAATGAAAGGTGGAGTGACTTATAATAATAGAATGAAGTATCTATTATTAAATTTTTGTTATAAGAAAATATACTTTGATATTTTAATGGTTTGAATTTGAATTTGAATTTTATTTTATTTAAGAATAAATTTGTAATTTAATTGCAATAGAGTTTTTTTTAATTTAAAAAAAGTGAAACAACAAAAATATATATATATATATATATATATATATATATAAAGTTATGTCAGGGTTAATTTTTATCTTAAAAAATCTTTTAAAAAAATGTTACTTCTAATTAAATATTAAATATTTATATAATAGTTTAATATTGATATTTGACGGAATGCATTCGAAATATTATTTGATTTGAACAATTATAGTAACACAATTTAAGGTAACCTTATTCTAAGCATTATTTAGTGAATTAGTAATTAATGGTTTAATGAAAAAATACAAATACAAATAAGATCTCAGTCCAATCATATAATAGATTAACATCACTCTTTACCTAAAATCTTAAGGTAATAGATTAACGGGTCTATCACCTTATACTTATTTATTTCTATCCAATGTAAGACTTGAAGTCACACTTGGAATCCCAACATGACTTAACTAAATTATTACAATCAATGGTTTCTTATCCATTTTTGTGCATGGTCAGTTTCTTCTCATGCATGACATCTAATTTGCATTAGATTCAAGTTACACATAATTATTTAAAAATAAAAGTAGATAAAGTCTTTTAAAATGAAACGTTGAGTCATTAAAATAAATCTAGATCTAACAAGACGACTAATTTAAAGAAACATAAATAAAATATGTGTTGTGTTTGCATTATTAATAGCATTACATTAAAGTTTTTATAGTATACTAAATTTTATATTTATTTACCCCTTTAAAATTAAATAGATTGACTAGCATGGCGTATCCATCTTAAACATGGATGTTTTATTGCCAAATAAATTATTATTTAAACCTCTTATTCAAAAATATGTTTTCAGATAAATTATAATAAACATCAAATTAAATATTCAAAATGTTAATATCATATCATACCCAGTTATAATTTCTTATAATGCATAATATGTATTTTCGACTTATTATATCATTAAAATATAACAAAGTAAACCCTTCAACACACTTGTCCAAGAAAAATAAGAATACTACAATTCAAACTCAAGACCTAACTCAGTAATTGAAAAGATCGGATATTGACTTCTTGAAGAGTTTTTTAATTAAAAACGGAGCTTTAAATTTATTAGTTTATTCAGTACAAATATCATAATTATATGGCACAAGAAAAAAAGTACACTTAGTAAAATAAAGCAAAATAAAAAACAAAATATAAGTTAAATGCATAATTTTATAATTTTAAGATAACTATTATACAAATAATAAATTTATTATATATAATAAGTTATATATAAATAAAAATATTTATCTTGTTAGTACATTCAAATTGATATAAAATTCGTTGTTATATTTTATTTGAATTTAGTTGTTACATTTTTAGTTAAATAATTAAGATGTTTTTAAGATTAAACTATTATTTTGGAGAGAGAGTAGTTATATTTATTAACTACTAACATTTTGTTTCAATCTCAGAAGGCTTTTCAATATTTTTCGGTATTATTTTTCTTTATTCTTTGATTATTTTTGCTTTACAAATTCTATTTTATTTTATCATGACAAGATGACAGTCAATATAAATTAAATTTTGTATTAATTTTTAATACAATAACTAATTGTTTTTCCAAATGCTCTTATCTCCTAAAATCAGTTTTTAGAAAATAAAAAGCAATTTATGTAATAAACAACACCCAGTAAAGTATTGTTTATAAATATATCTATAAAACATTACACATAATTTCAAGGCAGACCGGACTTTAAAATATATATATATATATATATATAATAAATAGGTGAAACTAATAATATCGATCTTCGTCAACCCCTAAAGCCTTTTTCTGCTTGATCCCAAAAATAAAAGTTATTTTTACAAATTTAATCTCAAATTGTATTTTAATATTACTCAATTAAATTTCCTTTTAAAAATTAAATTTACTTACACTAATATTTAATATACAACTATATTTACAGTGTACTTTAAAATTAATTTTTATTTAAATATACTTTTAAATAGTTTTATTTAAAGTTAAATAAAATATAAAAAACATTTACAGACATTTAAGTACCTACAGCTATAAAAAAAAATCACATGTTTTTATACTGATATCCACTAGTCATACCCGATTGGTGTCATCATCCCTAACAATGTATGCTGCTAAAATAGCCCAGTTTCCATCACACATTTAATCACGAGTTGTTTTCTAAACATATTTGGAAAAGTGCATATTATACCGGTATATTGCACATAACAAGTGAAAGTTAACTATTTATGAACACCAACGAGAACAATATACAAAATAGAAGTACGACAGGAATTATAATGTGTGAAGTCACAAAAAAACTTGTAATGGGAAATGCAGAATAATTAACAGATGAGATGGAACTATTGCATTTCACCAGAAACATGTTCGATTGTTTTATGAACCAATCAATTAGCGGTGTAGAGAATACAATGGCAGGTAAAGTAATCACTTAGGGTAGCCAGATGGGGGGTACCCTGGTGGAGGATAGGCAGCTGGGGGATAACCAGTCGGGGGGTATCCAGGAGCTGGGTATCCTTGAGAAGGTGGTGGGGCAGGTGGATAACCATAGGGCTGTCCATAAGCTGGTTGTGGTGCATACCCAACAGAAGGAGGAACTTGCTGATCAATGCGTGACATCTGCTGAACAGGGGGCACTGACATTACTGGTTGGGGTCCAAATTTCCCATCACGCTTGTCCATTTCAATCTTGTGCTGAGTCTGCAAACAAAATTTCCTCAAGTGACAATTTTCATGCGTACCACATCGTGATTAACCACGTCAGATATAATTAACAAACTTACCTGCATGCATGCACAGACCCTACAAATAAACAGAAGAATAAATTTAGTACAAACTCCTTCCAATATAATGTGCACAATTAATTGAAACTTTAGAGAGAAGAGGAAGCCTTACGTGCAGTACACAAAGTCAGCCAAACAAGATAGCAACTGAGAAGCCTCTTGAATTTCCTCGCTTCCAACAATCATCGCAACAATAGAGAATATACATGCAATTTGTTGAAGGCAAAACATGAAACCCTAAAAAGAAGAGTTACATGTAATTAACTGAATATCATTGAAAAAAAAAATTGCAAGTATTTGGCCGTGAATGCAGAGAAAAACAGAGAGAGAGAGAGAGAGAGAGAGAGAGAGAGAGAGAGAGAGAGAGAGAGAGTACAATAATGCAATTATCACATTGCGTTGTTTGAATGTTAAATTCATCTTGCAAAAGAAAGCGAGTTGAGGCAACTGAGTTTCCAAAGCAGAGGAAAACCTGAAACAACGATACACACATCAATAAATATAGCTTGCTATATGTAACAATCACACAATTCAACACCCAAAATTCAAGCTCCAAATTAATCCTGCGTGACATTTATTTAATTGCAAATAACAATTTATAATTGTTCAAAACGCCATTTTCAAACACCCAATGTTTAAATAAAGCAGTTAGTTTTTGCTCTAAATCTAGTTTCGGTACATTTTCAATCTCTTCAACTATACAATAACTCAACAACTTACAATGAAAAAAACAGTAACGAATACATGAATTGTCGTTTAACTTAAAAATTGGAATCAAGAGCTTACTTAGTACTCCCACCCCTTCCTAAGTCCTTCTCGACGATAACAAAGGCTTCAGTTCATCATTAACAATGACACACCACTGGGTCCACATTTTCCTTTCTGAAGGACATTGCTACTAAAACCGTGTAAGACATTGATCATAAACGTTTTCAAAACCAGCTTTAAAACCTCGAGCGTCCTTATTTTAAAATCTTGGTTAAATTTTCGCAATGTTATAAGTCTGGAACTGTTTCCCCAGAGTTTCAAAATTTTCTAACTGGATAATGACCAATAGACAGTAAGGTCCAATTAAATTTTTTTTTCAATGGATCTTCAAATTTATAAAGTTTAAATTAAAAATCCTGAACAGTAAATAGATCAATTCAACCTCAATATTTAACTACCCTTACTGCTAGTAAAGCTGCATCTAAAATCTGCATAGTGCCTAGCTTCACTACATAACTAGGAGAGATCAACAGATTTTCATTTGATGGTTAAACAGTTTAACCCACCCTTTTTACCCTTCATCATGAAGAGTTAATCATTTTTATCAAACCTCGCATTCATGATTTCAAACTCAACAAGATAACAGTAGTAACGAAGCTACTCTCAAAAGTTGGAAACAATTTATTAGCCTAACCAAAAAAATCCTGCTATGCGTTTTATTTTTCCACTAATCCATACCTAAATCATATTTCAAGTCTTCGACAATTACTACATGTGATATACCATTATGTGTTATAAACTTGGACTAATTCCATGCAATGGTTAAGGCATCACAGCCAAACAGACTGATAGGGAGAGATGAAATGCCGACACAATACCAGGTACAAATAAAAGTAAGGAAAAATAGGTTCACATTTTTATACCTCAGTGCAAAGGCAAAATTCAGGACATTTACTTTCTCCACACCTACCACTGCAGGGCATGTAACCAGCACAACATGTGTATCTGGAAAAAAATAATTCGACAGATATATCACAAAAACAGACTCTATAAAAAAATTATTTTGGAATGTTGGAAAAAACAGAAATAGTATCAATCAATTACCTTGACATGTCATCATAAAGAGCTCGTTTGCGAAGAAGATAAGACACACACGGTGCGCTATGATGGGACAAAAGAAAATTAGATTAATTACTGCAGAATATAAATTCACTTCATGCCTAAAATGTAGACCAGCTAAAATTGTGATCCAACTAAGAGTGGATTGTTGTGGATATAAAACAGATTCATGAAGTTTATAGGCTCAAAAAATCTGCAGAAACTAGTGTGCAATAATACACAATATTTATCAACCGACGCAGTATGAAACATTTGTTTCCTTGGGGATACAAAACTAGTGTGCAATAATACACAGCCAAAATAAAGATCTCAGAATTTATCAATCGACGCAGTATGAAATATTTCCCGTAATACTTTATTCAATACCATCACTCTGTATAACCTGTTAGATTCATTGAATTCTCATACAACCCTTCCTCTGTTGTGGAGGTTTAGCAAATAAGAACCCCTCCACCCAGTATAAGATACTGAAAGAGGTCAGATTCCTACAACCATCAAGATACTATTTTACCCAAAGATAGAACATGAGAACACGCTTCCCTACAGTCATTTTTTGTGCACCAACTCTTTTGTCACTTCAGGAAAATCTTACACCACTCGGAATACGCATAGTATGTCCATGCCCTTCAACAAGAATACGAGTGCATTTCATGTTTTCTTTATCAGATCCACATAACTTTAAAAGTACACAGTTAAACAAATAATAACACCGATCAATTAGAACAGAGCGTGGAAACTATTTTAAGCAGAATCTAAAATACTTCGTCGGTCAATGCAAGTCAACGTCAATCCTGGATCTACAAGTCGAATACAATAAACAGCGAAATTGAAAATGAAAGATTTGTTTCCGAGTCCAATCGAGGAAAAAATAAAGCAAAAAGAACACTCAATAGATCCAGAGAACCAGATTTGACAAAAAAACATCGATTAGGTAGAAGAAAGTTCCAGATCACATACCACCACAGCGCGAAGCAACAATCTGCGCAAAATCAAGAGTTGAGACGACATGAGTATAAAGACTAAAAGCGAAATTGGAAAAGTGAAAGAGAAAGAGAGAGTGAGGAATTCCTTACAAGGAGTATCGGCCTGAATGGTACGCATGAGATCGGTGTGCCATAGATTCCGGAAATTCTGGCGTGCCTGCATCTTCTCGATGTGCTCCTGCGACGCCATGACGATTGTTTTCTTCTTCTCGAGCACAGTGTGAAAAACCCTAGATCAGATACTTGGGGAAATGCGTCACGAGATATAACAGGGATGACGAAATCTCGTAGCGTTTGAGAAGGAAATGAAAGAGATAAAAAGTAAGAGGGATAAGAAAAGATGATCGGCGTAGTTCTGGGGCGTTGAAGCTTGAAACAGCTCACTAAACTTCTATTGGTCTATGGACTCTTTGCTTCATTCCTCCATCATAGCTGTAGTGACCCCGCGTAAGCCAACTAAGACTGTAACTACAAATGCCCCAAACGACACTAATTAATACTATTTTAAAACCTTTACTTATACCCTACTTCTCTACTTTTACTTTCTAACTTATTCTATACATTTATATCATTCTTATTATGATTTTTAGAATTATTCTGATATAGTAAAATGGTTCTATATTATTAATAAATAAATAAATAATTATAAAAATATACTTTATGTAACAGTATAAAAAAAGAACACACACACATATATATAATTATACATCACTTCAACAATTAAATAATAATTTGGAAATAATATACTTTAAAAGTGTTAGTTATTTAATATTATTATCTTATTACAAATAGTAGGAGTTTTACCAATTGTTTTTTATTGTATATTTATTAAAGTGTTGTATAAATGAAAAGATGATATGAGAGAACATCGTGCAATCATCTAATTCAATTAAATACGCTTTTCGTTTATTCCATCCTTTTTTATTCTGCGATTAAAAACCTTTTTTTTATTAAATACAATAATAGAATTGTATGGTTAGATCTTTTTACTGGTGCATTGCTATGTAATATAATTTAGAAAAATACAATGCCAAAAATCATTGAAAAATTATATAACTATATTAGACTCATACGAAAACTATATTACACAAATTAAAGGTAACTTTCAACTTTTATAATGTGTATGCTTTCTTCGAAGAAATAATGGAAATTTTGATGTTGATAATATCGATTTTAAAATACGTACTATTAAAAATACTTGTATATAATTTTATTATTACATTTATATTCCTTCATTTTAGTAATTAAAAAGTACCTTTAGTTAAGTGAGGTTATAAATAAGAATAAGTTATGTGTAAAATCTGATTCTTTATTACATATAGATTTTTAAGTAATAACGAATATAAAATATATAAATTGAGGATAAATGTTTGTCTTTTTATTTTTTTTTATTTTTTTATAACTCGTATTCTCTTCTTCTTTTTTAAGTTTCGAGACAAATTTAACTATTTTTATTTCTTCTACTGCAACACAGTAACTCATTTTTCTTCCTCTAGTTCAACTTCACCCTACAATTGTACCACCCAATCTTCCTACCTAAATTTACGTAACCTCTACGTAGGAGAAAGGAAACCCATTTTTTTCTTTCTATATTCTCTAACCCGAGACCCTCCCTACTCTCTCTTTCTTAATCCATTTTCACAAAACTTCCTACTCTCTACTGCATCTCCTTATCCACATAAAACACTAACCACTTCTATCATAAAATACATTTTCTCCCTTTTCCCCCTCAGGTTAATACTTCCACTAAACACAACCCAAGTATATATTTTCTCACTAAAATTTCCTCTAACAGTCTCCACACGTGTAACTACTTCAAAGAGTGAATTAATTCAGTCAATCAATACACCCAACAAAACATACAACACATCACATTATAGTTCATCCAACTCAGTATCCAAACACATTCAATTTAAGTTACAGGAATCCAACTCAAGCATAAGGACATACTTACTTCAAAAATTTATCCATCATACACGTCATACCAATAATATACAGAAACATAGTTAGCTCCCCTTACCTGGAAGTCAAACAGTATATTAAACTAGAGTGTCCTAACCGTGCCCCTCACAGTGAGAATCCAACAGTGCCCTACAACCACCTAAATGGTGATGAAAACAGCTCTTAGAGCTAGAATAGACAGAAAATCGAAATGGGGCACCACCAGTTGCATACAACCAGTAGAGTTGCATGCCTTAGGTTCAAGAAAAGTGGAGGAATTGACTTACCTGTCCAAATCAGAATTTCAATCGGATGAAAGGGAAACTCTCAACTCCGTGAACGAGAGCACACCACATATTTGAAATTTCAACGGTGGAAAGTGGTGGAAAAGTAAAGAGAAGTCAGAGCAAGAACTGAGTTTAGAGAGAGAAAGAGTAACTGGAAAATGAGTTCAGAATTGGAGAATGAAGGAACCCCTTCTAAGTTCATGGTGCCTTTGGCCCTTTGGGCCTGGCTGCCTCAGAAAATAAGGCCCAATAGCCCATACAGTTTTCCAGGACCTTACACACTGTACATCTAAAATATGCTAATGTTTATGTATATTCAACGGAATAATTTTTTAGTTGCGTAGTTAGTTTAATGTTATATATATTTATATAGTTTATGTTCTATGTATATTTTTTAGTATGTTTTAGAATAGTTTAAATTAGACTTGTAAAATTGATTAAGTTAGAGGTTGATAACAATTTGAATAAGATAATTGATAACATAGAATATAGGTTTGTTGAGGTTTATGTTGTTTTTTTTTATTTGTTATTAGAAAAAGTGTTTTTTTTATTTGTAATTAAATAATTATTTATGCTAAAAATATAACATGTAGTAAAACATGTCTGTAACGAGTACGTTATAAGAAAATTGTACCAAGACACAATAGGTCAGGTATAGCAAACATTTATTGATAATCCAAGTTTATTGAAAAATCACGAAAAACTAAATATCAATCAATAACAAATTGCAAAACTCGTTTGTAATTAATCACGACCTGAAATGCACAAATAAAATTTCATAATTAAATATTAGTTAGTAATTACCAACAAATTTTGAATGTTGATAATTTTAAAATTTAGTTTTCTTCCTCTTCTTCCTTTTTTTTTTCTTTTTTATCTCATTCTTTGTCTTCTTCCTCTTAGTATAATGAAAAGATGAAATGAAATCAGATTAACTAATATAAGAGCTAAAGCAATGTTATTAAAAACGCATAAATAAATAAATAATATTATTACAAATAATATAAGAGGATGAGGTAGATCTCCATGCACTTGGACGTTTCTTCCCGTGTGCCTATCTCCTACAAACCATTGGAATAATATTAACATTTCAAGTCAAAATCAAGCCACACAAAGTTTAAATCCAACCAAGAGCAATCATGATCAAATTTGACTATAAATAAGTGCATAGCATTTTCAATTCTTAAAAGATGATAAAAAAATTGAATTTAAGGTTCTACTTTTTATTGATTCCATTTTTTTTAATATATTTTCCTTTTCTATTAGATTTAATCGGTTTCCAAATACACTTACAAATTTTAATTAAGTTATATAATAAAATAAGAATAGATTTATCGAAAGTATAAAGTTTTTTACAATATATTATTGATATATATGTGTGTGATAAATTTATTAATATGATAATTATTAGTGAAAAACATAGGCTACACGCATTTTTAGACAATTGTTATTATCATAATTATAAAAGTAAATTTGAATTTTGTTGACAATTTTATTGTAGGGTAATGTTTATTTTTTGTAGACAATTTTTTTATATTATAGATATTTAAAACATTCAAATCAAAAAAGGGTTAAATTAAAAAAAAAAACTATCATTTAAAATATAAATTTTGTAAAATAACTATTTTAATTTTAAAAAAATTTAAAGGATAAAATTGAAAACAAAATGTGTATAAAAAGAGAGAATTTTCTTTATATAATTGTATAGATTTCATAAGATCTTTAACTCGTATTAACAAGATGAAAAGGTAATGTGAAATTAAATAATTTGGATCATTACATTAATAAATCCTCGATAAGTCTCAAATTCTTTAAAGACATAAATAAATTTTCACGATCCAATTAATATTTAAATTATTAAGTAATAAATATTAATAATTTTAATTATATATAATAGAATTTATAACTAACACACATAACAATAAGTTACAAAATTAGTTACGTCATTTTCTAAGTAAAAAGTTAATATTATTTTAATTTTTTAAAATTGAAAAACATAGTTGAGATTTTTTAAAAAATTATGTCATTATGTTTTTTAAATTAAGAGAATAATTATTAATATAATAATTAAATTGAATCAATGAAGAAATCAAAAAGGCGAAAACGCTACCTTTGAATGAAGGAAAGGCTGTCAACGTAACGAACGCCGCCAAAATTGGAAAGACCAGTTTTGATTGCCCTTTCCGTTTTAAGATATCTATCTATTTTATTTATTTAATAAAACTATGACAATGCTGTCACTAACAAATATATGAAAATATATTTATATAATCACTTAACATATGTTATAATATAAAATGGTTATAAAAGAATAAAAATTTTATTTTTATATATACTGTATGTTATATGCAAATGCATAGTATAATCGTGACTTTTGATAGTTGTGTTTCCCTCTGTGTTCGTTTGGACTGATTTCTCTGTTCACGTGCATTAGCGAGGATTGATTTAGAAGAACAGCGTTGTTCTTTTGGGCCGATTTGCGAAGATTTGATCGGATGTAAAAGCGTTGATTTGCGAGAATACACTGTTCAAGTCATCTCGCATTAGGTGCGCGGATTTGCGATGAAATGGCACAGAAAGACTGATATGCCCTACATGTATTCGGTTACACGGAGGCGTAACGGGTTACACTTCATGAAGAATTTGCCTTAATGGCGTATTCGGTTACAGGTTCACGTAACCGGTTACAGCTTATTCCAGATGGGTATTGTCTTGCACAGTGGCTTTACTAAATTATATTACAATTTAATACTACATTTTAAAATACATTCATTTTACTACATTATAACTTTTATAATTTTTAAACATTAATTTTATAAATTATTCATAATTTTTTTCTCTTTATAAACATCTCTACAATTAAATATAACATTACAAAATAACATTTTATAATACTTTTATAACTAGGGGCATTTTGGTCATCTTTATTTTCTATCAATTAAACTAATTTTTAAAATCTATCACATCAATCAAATCCTACACTAATTCTCAGAAACTTTACTTCCAAATCGACTCTCAATTAACCACAAATCCACTCAAAAAAACAACTAAAAAATTACCCTCAAATCCACTCAAATCCATTCAAATCATCTCTCCCAAATACACCCAAAAAAACACACCCTTAATTATGAGATGATAATACGTAATATGGTATAATTTCAAACATGAAACTTTTACATTAATTTATTTATAATAAATGCAAATAATCATACGGACATAATAATTAGAGGTCAATTTTTATCAATGATAATTTAAACGAGTC